TAACAACGGGATACAGTCGATGGAACACGCTGCCCAGGGGATCGGCTCCGTAAAAATGACCTCTTGATTTCTGTGAAGATGTGCTGCTCCGGCACCCACATGCTGGGTCTGCGCATGGGGGTTGGCCCTGGGTTTTAGGTCCGTCTCTGCAATGGGAAAGCAAGAGTGTGCTCCTGGACCAGCATGCCTTTCTGTGCTGACTCCACTCAAGGATGGGTTCTCTGCAGGGCCCCATGCTGGTGCGACCTGGGGTTACTGAATTGCTTCCCAGGTCAGACAACCCAAGGCCGTGGTGATGCCAAAATGAAAGTTCCTCACAGGTGTTCGTAGGCTCTGCCAAAATTGATTTTATCTCCTAGACGAGACTGTTTCAAGGAAACTCAGCACCAGTTACCGTCTTGGGAACCCCCCGGGAGTCGCTAGGAGTCAGCCTGGACTCCATGGTGAGGAGGACTCAGAGAAAAGAGGACACCGTCCACCGGGCCCATCAAGGGAAAGAACCAAGCTGCGGCTTCGACCGTGCATTCCCGTGCGCAGTGGTGCGCTGGCTCAGCAGCCCCAGTGGCAGCAGTTGACGTCACTGGTCCAACTGCAGGGGATGGACGGCTACCTGCCCAGCATCATCCCACCGGTGGTGCTTCACTTGGGTCTACGTGAAGGTGTCCAAATTCCCCGCAGTAAGAGCACGGCTGCTCATCAGCATGGCCCGGTCTGCCACCACCATTGGAGCAATGCTGCTCTTGCTCCCTCTGGGTCCGCTTGTAGTCAGTGCTTGGCACGTGATGGGCCTCCACCACAGGAGAGCAGACTCCCCCCGCTGAAGATCACACTCCTTGGCAAGGGCACCAGACCCACCACCACGGTGCAGGTAGCTGGCAAGACCAGGTAGCAAGCTGGAACCTCTACCCGAGGTTAAGCCACTTCAACTTCTCATTCCATGACCAGGGCCTCCTCCAGGAGGGCATCCCTGGGCCCAGTTGCCGGACGGCCCACACTGGAAGCACTATTGCTGTTCACGGCTGCAGGTAGGTTTCGTTTGGTGCCCGAGAGTGTCCGAAGTAGCAGAGACTCAGACGCAGCTCAGTGGGAAGCAGCTGTTTGTTTTCAGGGTCTTTGCCTCCGCACCACCGAGCCGGACAGCAAAGCCCTCAGTTAGTAGAAAGCAAACGAGAGAGCTTGTCCTGCTGGGCCTCCTTTCTGTGCTGCCGTGATTGTCCACGAACTGCAAGTCCCTCCACCTGTGAGTGTCTCCCACGGGGGTGGGTGTGGGTGGGGGGAGGGCTCCAGCTGCCAGGAGCGGGGCAAATGCTGGGCAAAGAAAAGGGTGTGATGAACAGGGTTAGAGGGATACCAAAGGATACTTTGGATGGAGGGTTTTTTCCCATTGGGATGTGTTCCTAGCCCCGGAAGTTGGCTCACTGTCAATGCTTGGTGGTAACAGGGTTTGAGGCACAAGAAGCTTCAAAAAGTTCGTGAGAAAATCCGTGATCCTTTCATTCATTTGGAAGCTTTTTGAAGCCCCCACCTCTAACGAGTAGCAGCCGTCGCCGAGAGGGTGGCAGTGAAGTCAGTTGTGGGAACAGCGGTTAGAAAGATCTGGTTCTGTCAAGTCCACTGCAACTCGTCAAGAAAGGAGTGCCACCTTTCCCAGACAGGCACGGTGGGGCAGCTCCGCACAGGTGTCCATCTGACCCTCACTTGGTTCGTTTCGGTTCACAGTTGGAGAAACGAAGCCTTCAAGACAGTGAGGAACGTGCCGGAGGCCACTCAGGGAATCGGTCAGCACTGGGATGGAACTTCAAGTGGGTGTGTTGAGCCATCACGTGCTGGGAAAGAGACGCTGTTACAGGTCAGGGGCAGGCAGGGGAGCCGAGCATGCCTGTCTCTGTGCGTGAGATGAGTTTATGATCTAAAGAAAGGAGACTGCATAAGGTCAAGGTGAGACATCGTGATAAGGTTCAGAGAGAAAGTCAGCCCAGATGAAGATGGGGAGAGGAGGGCGGGGGCTCATTTTCATGGGGAGTGCTTTGCTCTAGAATAGCAGTTGCTAAATTGAAGGAATTCAGATAGAACGTAAGCGTGAGTCGGGTTCTCTGCACCCCCCAGGCCATGTTTGGCACCTCTGCAGCCTGGCCCAGGATGAGCCCCCCCACCCCATCCCCCCACCCCCGCTCACAGGGGAGCTGGGCCTCCGCTGGGGAACCTGCACAGGGACACTCAGAAAGCAGAGAAAGACACTAGGCTGCATCTTCAAGACTGAAGAAGACTTAGAGCCGGGGGTGGGGGTGGGGGCAGCGAAGAAGAGTAGATTTTCAGGTGCCTATACGAATACTACAGCCTGAACCGAACCCATCAGTGCCCCTCGGGGGTGAAGAATGAAGGTGGAGGGGCAGGGAGCACCGGAATGGGTTGTGATTGCACAACTCATTTTAAAGGC